CCTATGAAGTAAATTCTATCGTGTCTGTTTCACAGATAAGGAAACTGAAATAGAGATTGAGCAACTTTCACGAGGTCACATACATGGTAAGTAAGAGAGTAGGGAACCCAGGCGATCTAGCTGCAGACTCCACAATCTTTTTTTTTTCCTTTTTGTTTTTTTTGTGACCGGCAACGGGATCGCAACCCTCGGTGTCGCGCCCGCACCTCGCTCAGCCAGTGAGCGCCGGTCTGTATGTGGCATCCGAACCCTCAGCGGGAGCGCCGCTGCGCTCCCAAGCGGCGCACTGTAGCAGTGCACCACCGGGCCGGTGACTCCACAATCTTAACCATTACATACACAGTAACATTAATTTTGGGAAATGGGAATTCTCATTTCAAGCAATTTCCTAAAATGGGGTGGAGGCGGGGTAGTGTGCCTGGGACACAGGTGGCCTGCTCTACATTCCTTTCACTATTCAGACCCACCCAGCAGAGTCAGGCACAAAGCCAGTGCACAATGGGTGCTTCCTGAATGAATGAAGAAACACTCACCTGAAACGTCAGGGAGGAAGCGAGGCTGCCAGAGATCCAGCAGAAAATAGGCCAAAAGTGAGATGCTGAGTAGGAAGAACGGCCGGAGGGACGACGAAGACAGCAACCTTAGGAAGAGACGGGTACCTCAGCGGTGAGTGGGTGAGAGGCTCCTCCATCCATCTCAAAACGCGGAAAAGAGCCCCCTGATGGGGGAATGACACCTCTAGGCCTAACTCGCGACCCAGAGACAGAGGGATGGGGCTGCCTTTCCATTTTGAAGTTGGACGTCAACCTTCAAAAACTGGGGGATGGGCCATTCTCCAGGCCGAGTGACAACCTAGACACGGGAATGGTACTCCCGGTCTCCCGCCCCCGCTCTCCCGCGCAGCTCGGTCCCGCCCCCTCCTCCGCGGCCGTTACCAGAAGAGGCCGTTGAGCGCGGCCGCTGTGACCAGGCTGTGCAGCGGCTTCTCCCACACCAGCAGCCGCTGCGCTGCCGCCAGCACGGCCTCCCAGCCGCGGAGCCGCAGCCACAGCGTCGTGGCTAGGCGTCCCACCGCCTCGGCCGTGGCCGCCTCCTCCTCCGCCTCGCCGGTGGCCTCACCCATGCCTAGGTTCAGACCGAGGCCGAGGCCGAGGCTCAGGCCCAGTCCCGGTCCCCCACCCACGCCGATGTTACCACCGCCACCGCCGGTCGCCATAGCCCCGCCGCAGCCACCGCCCGAGCCCGCGAGGAGCCAGGGCTGCCCGGCCGCCGCCGGGGGCGCGTCAGGCCGATGGGGGAGCACGCCGAGGAGAGCAGAGGCTGTGGACAGGCATCACGTGACCGCGGAGGGACGAGCCCATCACGTGACGGGGCCTAACCGCTGGGAAGCGGCTCCCGCATGCGCGCAGGAGGCTGCCGGTGACCCTGCGCCTACGTAGGTGCTGTTTGTGGCTACCGAAGTCGCTGCGCGGGGTCGGGGTCTGGCTCTAGGCGGTTCTTCCTGTTTTCTTCTCGTATCCCCGATGTGATCCCTACTGGAGGAGCAGGAAGTGGGCTCCCAGACGCCCAGTGTCCTCGGCAGGATCTGCTCGGGAAGAGCGGCGGCCGTCCCATTACTCAGCCCTCGACGCACTGGTCCGGCCAGTTCACTCCCCTCAGCGGGTCAACAAACACCAGCGCGTGACTCGACAGACACGAAAACAACTGAAACTTACTCAGAAAAGTTGTTCCTTCCACATTTCCTTCTGTAAACTTTTTCCGCGCGTAGAAAGAAGCTCCTTCCTCCCCAGCCCTCGAGCGTAAGATTGGGGGCGGGAGGTGAGCTTAAAAATAAAATCTTGTTTAGATGCTGCTTGCTTTTGGGGATACGTGTTAACACCATTTTCTGAGGCATTGAATTCCCTTGAGATAATTTGATTTCGGTAGTAACCCTACAAAATACGTATATAATTAGGTTTAAAGTTTCGAACTCTAGTAAAAGATTTACAGCGAAAAGTAAGGTTCCACCTTGTCCGCGGTTCGCTCAGCGGTAAGTTTCTTGTGTCCTGCTATGTACATTGCACCGTGTGTACCTCCCTTTCTAAAGAAACCACTGGGAGCAACTCGCTATTCTGCGTCTCGTCTTATTCATGTTAGCAACGGCCTGGCTCGTTCCTTCTCAGGGCGGCGTGGTTCCCTGGGAACTGTCTCCATTTCTCAAACGAGGGTCCCTGGGGCTCAGCTCAGCTCTGTGACTTGGCCGGGCTCAGAGGGACCCGGAGGTCGGGGCGGGAGGCTGGGCGGAGCAGGAGGCAGGAAGTGCCAGGGGCTGACTCGCCCGCGACACCCCCGCGGCTTGTAAACGCGGGGCAGACGCGGACCTGGCAGAATACACGCCTCGAAGCCGGCTCTCCACTGTCC